CATAGTTAAATTAAACAACTGTAATCCATCTGGAAACTCCGCACTCTCTCCAAATCAAACAAAAAAACAAAAACTTTCACTTTTTCTTGGTTAGGCTGCCCTTCAAGGATCTTGATTCTGCTCTAAATTGACCATACAAGGTATATATCAATGATCCTGAAAATCTGTGGGAAATTCTATCTTTCGGTGAATTGATCTTGAAAGAAATGAACTGCCTCTCTGCCATAGCCTCATTGTCTTCTGTCCATAATCCAGCTCTGTATGGATCCCTTTAATCTGTAATTCTTTCTCTACCATCTACTTGTGCATTGAAACACTTTTGGTTTCCTGTCCCCATCTTCAAAACCAAAACATACCGGCTTTTTATTTCAAAAATTCTCTTCAAGTCAAATACCTTATAAATCAGCTTGAACTTTCTGAAAGCCTTTCCCTATTTTATTTGAGTACGGATTAGAGTTCAATGAGCCTCAATGTACTTTAAAACTACCTCTCCAAAACTTGAAATTTTCTTGAAAAAATATTCCCCTAAGTTGCCTTACTTCCAGAGAGAGACAAAGCCCTCTTTAACTCTTCCAAATTGTGATTGAATAAAGTAAACGAATTTGCATTAAAAAAATCAAAACATTCCAATTCTACTTCACTTACTGCCCTAAAAGTGTCGGTTGCTGTTCCAAAATTCCGAAATCTTAAACAATTTCTTAACTGGACAGAAAAAGGATTGCCACTATACAACGTAGGGACATGAAACGGAGCCTATTTCGTAAGTGAGGTACCTCAAGACCTGCACTAGTGTTGAACTCTATATTTGCTAAACACACGATCTAATCTTTCTGAAAATGCAATTCATGCTTCTGCTCGTCCATTCCACCATGTGTATATGCTACATTAAAGCCTCAGAAAGCACTCAAAATTGGCAAGTATTAACACAGTGCCTCAAAATCCTCCACCTCATTCAGTACTGGTAATCCTCCAATTTCTCCTCTTCATCCCAATTACATTGAAATCACCCCCACAAGAAAGGAGTATCATATCTCTCCAAGAGATACATCGAATCCCACAATTCAATTCTTTCAACTGCGTCACACTTTGCACAAAAAACAAGTGTAAACGATCAGTTCCTTTCGTCTTCCAGATTGATAACTGTAATGTAATGCTGCATTCAGTATCCATAATCACCTGTACTGTCATTATAGTTCATTCAATGAAAGCCCACACCTTTGTTTGAAATGTTCACAAAAAGCAGCAAGACCAATCTTCCCTCCGAATAGAGTTCCAAACTTTATTTGCAATTTTGCTTTGGCTCGCATAACACCTTTAATTTCAAAAGACGTTGCCTATTCATTGTAACAAGCCTTTCAAAAGCTTGCATTGTATTGACGGATCTAACATTCCATATAATAGCATTCATATCTAATTTAGTAGATTTAGTTAACGCCCTCCTTGTTTGAACCCCGTGGGTACTGGACCACTTGGGATGTCCTTCACCTGTTTTTTCCTGCCTTTTGATGCTGATTTTGCTTGATCAATAACCCTTGGGGATAGATTGGCCCTGCCTTGCCAACATTAAGGAAATTCTTATTTGTATACTCCTCGTTCAAAATCTTTTCCTTTATCTCCAACTTTTGGTTCTTCGCCTGTTGTGATCTGCTGTATTACCACATTAGTTTATAGGCTTAGGATGAGACTCTTTGGTTGTATTCTCTTTCCTTTCTTGGCACTTTGATTAAGTACAGAAATTAAGGACCCCAGCGTTAAGTTTTTCCTGTAGCTCTGCCTCTATACTCTATTTCTGATCTTGAATTAACTCTTCTAACTGCTGGTCTTTATTAAGTCCACCTTCATTAATCCCATCTGCTGCTTGTTGTTCCCCCAGATCATTTAGATCAGCTTTTTCTGTAGGATTAATTGTATTTATCTCCAGTAGTGATTGTTGTGTCTCCTTTTAACGCATAATTTCAATACGGCTCACATGAGGTTTGGTACTCCTGCACCTGTTCTTCTATTTGTTGAGTATTCTACTCCTTGTCATTTGGCTGCACATCAGTGATTTTGTTTGTTCTTGAATACCATGACCACTTTTTACGATTCACACTTTGTTCCTCTTCCCCATGTTCATCTTTTCACCCTCATTAACTTCAATTCCATCATCACCTTCATTAAACTCACCTTCTTCTTCTAAGAAATCTTCAGTTTGATCACACCACACTTTTCCTTCTCCCAACTTCAAAATATTAGCTAACAACACCAGGCTTCCTGAGTGTCCAACGATTGTAAGGGACCTCTTGGCACGACTGATTGTTTCCATAGAAGGCTCCATTAACCCATTGAGATGCGGATTCTCTTATAACATTACCTTTATTCTTAGTTTCTTTAGGAATCGTAGAATTACCTTCCCAGTCTTTTTCCCAGTTGAACTAGGAAATAAAGGTGGCTGCCGCTGGATTGAGATTCCCAGTAGACTTAGGATTAACTATAGGCTGCAATTATTTACCAATGCCAGTGATCATTCTCCACTTGTTCATCAATCCTCCACCTCTAAGACTGCATATTTATTAGCAATTGTACCTGCTTTACACCTTCATTGATGGGGACTAAATTCCTTTCCAACAGTAGTTTGATTTTGTACCGGAATTAATTGCTTTCCAACATTATCTTCAACCTGAACAGCACTTTTCTGATTAACAGCCTTCACTGCCTTGTTCTGTTACGATTATCTCGCACCTCTTTCCATTTTCCTTCCATACCATTCAGATTGCCTACCACTTTGCCACTTGACAAAATCATCAAAGGTCCATTTTGTTTAGACACAACAGCCAAACCACTCTGTTGCACAAACTCATTCATAACTTGTTGATCAGTAGACTTATTCTCCATTAACTCAGGATGAATCCTCCAACAGTCAGTCATATCATGGCCTTGTAAGCTCACACTCTTTACAATATTTTTGGCAAGTAATCGTACCTGACTATCACCCAAGTCAGTTCTAACATCTCCTGTTACTTCATTCACAATATCCCATACGAACCTTCTTAGGAAGATCATCTAAAAGGTCAACTAACACCTTGACTTTTGCACAGCTTGTCTTGTCTTGTTAATCGTAGCTAAGTCAAGATGAAGTGGCTTTCCCAAGCAGAAGCCAACGAGAAAAGGCATTCTTTAATAAAATTTGTTTGTAACAAATTTGGAAACGATATCCACGCCATTACCTTAGGTGTTTCCTCTCCGGCTTTGAATTTAGAATCATAAATCAAAGTTTGTAAAGGTATTCCCGGGCAGCCTTGTCTTTCACATAATACACACCTTTCTACATAAAATCGATAAAATCTTGCCATAGCTCAATCGTATTAGCACATGCCTGTCACGAAGGTATCCAATATTACACTCGCCTTTAATTCACATTGAAGCGGGACAATTCGACGTAATTCATTAAGCTCAGGCCATCCATACAAAAATTTGCAAACTACTGCATATTGCAAACCTTCGATCACTTTCATTCGAGCAACCTCTGCTCAGTGAAAGTAACCATGGGTTGTCCTTGAACAAAACCAATCGACGCAGTGGAATAGGATCAACAAGAGCTTGTTTTGACGAGTTTCCATGTACTGTTGCATTAATCGTTGCTGGTTTCAGATTGTTTGAATAATCTAGGGGCGTTGTAGTGTTGTTAAGGATGGTGGGGACGCTTGGGATGGTTGACCAGCCATTGGAGAAGGTGGTCTCCGGCCGGCGAGGCCATTGAAGAGCTCGCGATGGCAGTGCGCTGTTTCTCCTGGAGATCGCAAAAATCTCCTATTTGAGGAGAGAGAACAGAGCGTGGTTTAGGGAATCTGTGATGTCCAATGCTTTACCCCAGTCTTTGGATGTGTAGATAGTAGAATGAACTGATGTTTTGCTCATCACTACACCTAAAGTTCCCAGAATTAAGGTCCTAAAGCCAATGTCTACCCTGTCGACCAAAGTGCTGGGCATTAGAATCCATTCTTCGATGCTTTTGCCTCCTATTGTTACTCGTTCAAGGGAATGAGCAACTATTGCTAATACCACCCTTTAAATTTGTATCAAATAGGAGGGCATGGGTAGAGTAATATTTCTCTGTATTGCATCAGCCAATTTCAAATTTTGATTCCAATGTGCATTCCATAAAGGTTCCATTGTCAGTATTCTGAGCAGCCATCTCATGTCTTTACAAATGATTGTTATGGCTGGCATGTCTGCTGATTCTACGCAAGAAAATAGCATTGTAACATGTCGTATATTCAGCAGATATTTGTCATAGTTAGTATCCAAAAAGCTACTGTCCACCTGCAGAATTTCCAACAGAAACAGCCTCCACCCAAATGTTTGGCATCCAAAATAACACCTAATATCCTCCCAAATCTCCTTGCCACTATGCTTATGCCTAGTTTTGATTCCTTTCCATTGGAATGAGCACAATGTACAAATACCACCAAATAGAAATTCCTCAAACCATAGGGCATAGATACAGTAACGTCTCCTGCAAAAAAGAAAACCATGTTAGTGTAAAAAATGATCATCATGATCTCCTCCATGTGGATTCGAACATAATGATCTTTTGAGTGACTTCCTTGGGAAACAAGGTTTTTAGCCTTGATTTTTGCCTGGCTCCCTGTATTTGTTGTTTGAATCATAGCATCTATCTATACAAGGTTTGTCCTCAGCTGCAGCATCAAATGAAGTTTCTCCTTAGCTATGTGCAAACCATCTGCAATCATCTTAAACGATGTTGTCCTATTTACCCTTGAAATCCTGTGCTCTCCAGTAGTGTCCTGCTTTGATTTTTGTGTGGCACCATTCTTGGGGTGACTGTGAGCAAAATATAGTGAGAAGTGACTTCCCAATAGCTTCATATTTCCCAGTAAATGCTGCCAAAAAATAACACTGCCCCATGCCAAAAAACTGGGCAGTCTACTCCTTTGCTCCCTTTTTTTCCTGCTTGTGCCTACCATGATTTCTCCTTCAACGGAATGAGTACAATGTACTAATACCACCCATTGAAATTGAAGATCATGGTAAGGCATGACCACATTAACATTCCTGCAAAAAAGAACACATTGTTAGTAAAAACAAAAATCAACATGATCTCCTCCCTTAGGATTCGACCCTGCTGATCAGAAATGTCCAGTCCTTTCTCCTCCCATTTTTCCTTTGATCTACTCCATATTTATCTCTTTTTGGCTTTGATTCTCAGATATGGTCATTGTTAACTTGTCATTGTTCACGATCTTTCTCCCCAATACATCCAAATCCCAGAATTCATGACATACTATAGGGCCAAATTCCAAAGCAAAGTTTGCTAATTGATCAGCCAGTTGATTATCCTCCCTAAGCGTGTGAGAAATGTGTATATTGCCTTTAGTCATCAGCTCCTTGATCTCCTCGACATATATCTTCATATTCCATGGGCAAGTCCATGTTCCTTGAAGAACATTTGTCATCACCATCAGTCAGTATGCAACTCTATAAGCACATAGTCATGATTCAAACAATATCTTAATGCCTCCAGTAGTGCTCTAGCTTCAGCCTCATTATTTCTTCCTTCATCTATTTCTTCCCACATGCAATACATCACCTCACCTTCTTCATTCCTCAACACAAAACCATATGAACTCCTCCCATGATAACCCTTGAAGCCCCGTCTGTATTCACCTTAATCCAGCCCGACTCAGGATATTTCCAGATTACTTTTGTAGTCTTCAAAGCAGTGTTATAGTTCTCCATCACATGTATCAATTCCAACCAGTTGTAGGTACCTTAAGGAGACTAGGTTTCCTGACCTTCACCAGTGATTGAAGTGTTGTAAAATCTGGAAAATAACTCTGCTAATAGTCACTGGATCTCCATATTTTTTGCCATTTCTTCTTTTCCAAAGTTCCCAAACTATGATCGATGGGAGAGCCTACATTATTGGTTGAAGTCTGGGAACCACTTCAGCATTCCAACATCTAATAATAGCTTGATATAACGATAGGCCCTCAATGTTAATTCCTGCCTGTGAAAGGAAATACTTCCAAACTTTGTTAGCTCCTTATGATCTAAAAAATAGGTGATGGAAGGTCTCTTCTTCTGGACTGGCACAACAGCAACATCGTGAAGCCATAAGATAGCCCAGCTTTCTAAAATAATCATCCAATGGCAGCCTATTCTTCCATAGTTTCCACATGAAAAAA